GGCAGGATGGTTCAGCTAACAAAAACAAACAAACAAAATGTTCAGGTCCCTGCCAACCAATTTAAGAAACAAAGCTCTACAACTTTCATTGATTAGCAGTGTCTTCATTTTAAAATTCTAAATTATAAAATTTATGTTCTTTGCAAAAACTCAAATACAGGAGAAAATTAAGTTTACCCACCACACAAAGATAACCAACACCAGTATGAACAATATTTTCCCAGAATTTCCTTGTTTGGAGCAAGGTGCCGCCCTCATGTCCCTTGTTTGCCACCTTTAAGTCCTTCTTTTCTCTTCCTTAGTGATTGCAGAGTCTGCCAACTGGTTTCTAAGCAAAAATGTAGCCTTAATATGTATTTCACAACCTGTCTCTTTCACTTGACAATAAATACTACACAGAAGAGACTGCTTATTTTTTCTTGTTCACTTCTCCTCCATCCTACTCTCCCGTGAACCAGAAGCCATCGGGCTTCTGCCCCACCACGCCACTGACACCGCTCTCTCACTAAGAACACTATCTTGCTCATCTCGAAGGACACTTTCTGGGCACCATCTCACCAGACGCTCTGCAGCAGCTCACAGTGCTGGTCGCTCCTCCTCCCCACACACTCTTTCCTTCTTTGACTCCTACTTCCCTGGTCACGACTTTGCTGGTCCCTCTCCTCTGCCCATCCTCTATGTGTTGATGTCCCTCAGCACTCAGAGCCCAGCTGCTTTTCTTGGTCCCCCACTCTCCAGGGTGACTTCCTTCCTACCATGACGGATGGCCGACCCCACAGAAATCCTGAGCTTTACACCTGCACATCCAGCAGAACAATGGCCATCTCTACTTGGAGTCCCGTAGTTCAACTTGAGCAGCACATGCAAAAGGTAAACCTACCTTCCTCAATCTCCCAGTCTGCTCCATTTCCTGTGTCCCCCAAGTGACATCATATACTAGAGACAGGCAGATCTGGGTTTGAAAAGCTCCCCCATGCCTCATTAGCTGCTTGCCTTTGAGTAAGGTATTCAATCTCTGTACCTCAGGCTCCTCATCGATACCATGGACTAGGAATGCCTTCCTCAAATAATTGCTACAAAGACTAAATCAGATGATACAGGAAAAACATGGACACTAGCACATAGGAAGCACTCAGTAAGTGGCAATTTGTAATCCCCTGTGATAATGGAACTCTCTAAGAGCAGGGACCAATTATAACTTGATCATGGTTTTCCTAGCATTCAGCGTAGGCATCTCGGAAATATAAATTGATGAATGAATGAAATCTGAGGTATCCATTGACCTGGCTAACCCAGTTACCTCCACACTGGTGATGCCCTATAACTGAAAACTTCCCTAACTTGGTAAAAGAAAAAGGCATATAAGCCTAGGAAGCACAAAGAGTCCCAAACAAGATGAACCCAAAGAGGCCCAAGCCAAGACACATCGTAATTAAAATGCCAAAGTTAAAGACAAAAAGAGAATCTTAAAAGTAGCAACAGAAAAGCAGTTGGTTAAGTACTATGAAGCTCCCTTAAGACTATCAGCTGATTTCTCAAGAAACTCTGTAGGTCAGACGGGATTGTCATAAAATATTCAAAGTGATGAAAAGCAAACACCTACAACCAAGAGTACTCTACCCAGCAAAGCTATCATTTAGAACTCAGGACGCGATAAAGAGTTTCCTCGACAAGGTAAAACTAAAGGAGTTTATCACTACTAAACCAGCATTACAAGAAATTTTAAAGGACTTCTTTTTGAAGAAAAGATCCAACACATGAATGAGGAAATACAGGATAGAAAAAATTCTCACTGACAAAGGCAAACAGTAAAAGCAGTACATCAAGCAACTATAAAGCTACTACAAAGGTTAAAAGGCAAAAGTAGGAAGATCAGCCGGCCGAATGGCTCAGTTGGTTAAGAGCTCGCTCAAGAGTTTGAGCTCTGAGCAACAGCGGTTCGAGGCCAGCCCGAGCTGAGCAGCCGCTAAGCTGCCAATAGGTAGCAGGATGGCTCAGCTTAAAAAAACAAACAAACAAACAAACAAAACAAACAAACAAAAAAAGTAGGAAGATCATGTGTAATAGCAACAATAAATTAAGGGACACACACAAAAAAATAATTACAAAAATGTGGAGGGGATGAGTAAAAATTGCAGTGATTTTAGAATGTGTTTGAACTTAAGCAACCATCAACTTATATTAGACTGCTGTAAACATAGCTTGGTATACAAGAAGCACAAGGTAACTACAAAGCGAAATTCTACAAGATACGACGAGGTGTGACAATTAAGTTTGTGAACTCATCCTAGAAAAAGTGCTAGAAAGAGTTTTTGTACAGCAAAGGAACCATTAACCTCACAAAACGACAACCTACTGAATGGGAGACGATATTAGCCTATGATACATCCAATAAGGGGTTAATATCCAACATATATAAGGAATTCATACAACATAACAGCAACAAAAAAAACAAGCAATGTTATTCAAAAACGGGCATTCGAAAAACAAGATATACAGATGGCTAATAGACATGAAAAAATGCTCAACATTACTAATCATCAGAGAAATGCAAATCAAAACCACAATGAGATATCACCTCACACCTGTCAGAATGGCTATCATCAATAAATTAACAAACAATAAGTGTTGGTGAGGATGTGGAGAAAAGAGAACTCTCACGTGTTGTTGGTGGGATTGCAAATTGGTGCAGCCAACATGGAAAACAGGATGGAGGTTCCTCAAAAAATTACAGAACTACCGTTATAACCCAGCAATTCCACTTCTGGGAATTGATCCAAAGAAATCCATAACACTAACCTGAAAAGATATATGCCCCTCTATGTTCACTGCAACATTATTTACAATAGCCAATATAGAGAAGCCACCTAAGCATACATCAATAGACAAATGGGTAAAGAGGATGTGGTACATTTATACAATGGAATATCACTCGGCCATAAAAAAGAACGAAATCTTGCTATTTGTGACAACTTGGACGGACCTAGAGGATATTATGCTAATCAACATAAGTCAGACAGAAAACACAAATACCATATGATTTCATTTATATGTGGTATCTAAAAATAAAAATAAATGAACAAACAAAACAGAAATAAACTCATAGATACAGACAACAAAGTGATGGTTGCCAGATGGGAGGGAGTTTGGGGGGAATGGGTGAAAAAGGTGAAGAGATTAAGAAGTTAAATTTCTGGGCTGGCCTAGCAGCACATTGGTTGAGGTCTGGCTTGGGACGCTGGAGGGCCCCGGTTCAGATCTCAAGTGTGAGGGCCAGTGACGCTGCCCTCTGCGGCTAAGATGCTGAACGACAGCTCAACCTGGAGCTGGGCTGCCATGAGTCGCCTGTGACAGCGTAGGCTGCACCCCCTGCTGCAGTGGGTTGCCATGGGCTACCATGTGTAGCCAGCAGCCAGCGTGAGCAGCCAGCAGCCGCAGTGAGCAGCCGTCCAGAGGCTGGCGAATAATCGGCCTCTCCCAGAAGAGCGCAATGATGATGGTGCTAACTGGGGCCAGTGAAGTGATGTCCTCCACAACTACACTATACAACAAAAAACGACAACTTGTCTGTTTCCCTTACCCCAATTCCCCAATAAAAATCTTTAAAAAAAAAAGAAGTCAAATTTCCAGTTATGAAAACAGTCACAGGGATGTAAAGTACAGCATAGGGAATATAGTCAATAATATGGTAACTATGTACGGTGTCAGATGGATACTAGACGTATTCATAAGTTAAATAAATGTCTAATCCCTATGTTGTACAGCTGAAACTAATAATGTCAACTGTAATTGAAAAAAATTTTAATTAAAAAAGAAATAAAACCAGATGAGTAAAGAAAGGGTAGCTGTGAGCACAGAGCCAACAAAGTACATCTCCTAGCAGGAAAAAGGGAATTGCAAGGTGACAGAAGAAACATAGTAACAGGTGAATTTCAAGATGGAATAAACAATGTTAAATGCCCAAGATGTTAAGAACCAAGAAAAGGATTTTAGACCTTGTGTTCATCATGACCTTCAAACAGTCAGTGAAGTGTGAGGAAAAAGGGGGGAAAAAGATTCAAAGTGGAAGCAAACAAGGAAGGAAAGGAAGGAACCAGAGTCTATTCCAGTAGGTTTGGCAGCAAAACTGAACCAGCAGAGAAGAAACTGAAGATGTAAAAGACAAAGAAACACATAACCTGGTTCAAAATAAATTATATTTTTAAATAAAACAACTGTATAATAGTCTCTGCTAAGAAGACTAAGTTTCGCTGAACAACCCCAGTACTGGGCTCGTTATGCTCAGGTCTGCTCACACCAACAACAAGAGGACAGCTCTCCCTCTGAGCTGTTCCTCCATATATGGCACAGCGTTGTGTACAAAAGGGCTGCTGGACCCCAAGAAGACTGGGAGAGTGTAGATGGATTAAGAGAACATTTCCCGCACCTGCCTCGGCATAGGAACCACCTGGGACACCTCTTT